TATATAATAATCAATTTGAAATTCTTTTAATCAATATATAATTTTTTTTATCATCTTGTTTGTATTAGTTGATATGTTATATTATTAGAGATTTTTTACAATTATATTTTGAAATACTATAATTGATTAATTTTTTAAAATGTCTTTTTTGGTCATTTTGCATTCTTATCAGCCATTTTTGTTAAATATGATTTGTTCATCAGTTAACTTATCAATCATCAGCTAGTTTATCAATTAGTTTGCTAGATATAGCCTTACATTTAACATCATGTTCTGAATCACCCTCTAAGAAGAATACCGAGTAGGATTTAAGTTCATATATTTGTTAAGTGTTAGTTTGCTTCATCAAAACAATATTTGATAAGCCTGATCTTTTCTACTATCTTCTACAAATTATAAACAAGATTATATTACTGCAGAAACAACAATTATAACAAGTTATAAACAAGATACCAAGTAAATTCAGAACGAAGAATTGTTTTTCAAACCCGGTTTCCGGTCAATAGAGCCCTTAGGTTTCTATTGGTTTTAAAATAAAAATAATAAAGGGGCAATTGTATTTACTTGACAAATAAAAAGAGGAGTTCTACATACACATCAACATTACATGATACATACACAAGTACATGGATCACTCTACTCACCACACCCGTAAACCAAACCAAACCAAACCAAACCAAACCAAACCAAACCAAACCAAACCAACACAATAAATCTTAAAACTGGCCAATAAACCCACACAAAGACGGAGTCTAAGAGTAGGATGTACACAGACCTTTCCAAACCACGATCTAGTAACAAATGCATATCATGAATGCCGACACGATAACAAGTTGATGCCCATTGTTCGTTTTTTAAATAGCCTAACGTTATCATTGGATCTTTATCATATTTCCACCATTCTTTTCGTTCATAACGATCCATGGAGTTTGTTTTTTGGTGTATTTCTAGACCTGCTATTGGGTCAATGGCACGCATTCGAGCTCTATCTGTAGCTCACCACTCTCCACATTTTGGAGTTTTATAGCAATCTCTTGCTTCGCCTTCCCTTCCACCAGTGTGATCACACCGTCGTTGACTTGGGCATTGTTGTCTTCTCCTTCTGTCGTTTTTACTTGTGTTGATAGCTCATCCATGTTAAAATTCGCCAAAGCTTCTGCCAGTGTGATCACACCGTCGTTAACTTGGACGGCATTGTCTTTTCCTTCTGCCGGTTTTACGTGTTGTGTTGATAGCTCATTCACCTTACAATTCTCCAACGCTTTGGCAGCAGATACCAACGGTTCAATATCGATCTCAGCCTCACCCATAAAATCATCGGTTGTGAACTTATCCTTGTCAAAAACACTCTGCAGAACCACCAAAAAACTTGTTAGCAGTTCTGATTATCATTCTCGGAATAGCGCATTACAACACAAAACTAGTTGTGGCAAGTTAAAAATGAAACTGATCACAAATTCAAAAGAGAAAGATAACGATCAATCAAGGAGGGTTACATCTTTTTGGATCTGAAAACCCTAAACCCTAATCTTTAAACTCTTGAATACTAGATGCTTCTTAGGCAAATCTTGTCCATCAGCCCTCACCCCATCTCAATCCATCACTGAACTTGCACTTCAGTTATGCTCGATCAAGAGTGTCTACCACAATTCTAACTCTGTATTCATACCATGATCTGATTTCAGCTCTCATGACTCACCTATTTTCTCAACATCATCGATAAAGAGCATACGTAAAGGATTTCATCTTGTAAACCTTTTCTTGACTTAATCCCATGTGGCCCTGATGTTAACAGCCAGGCAAGCCCTCTAGTGGCCCTGAACTGGTGACCTCTAGGAAGCGAACCCAAGGTCATACCGGCTGAGCTACCTCTCAGCGTTGTCTTGTAAGCCAGTGAGAATATGTGGAAACCCATATTACTTTCCAGAAGAGCCATTGAGGAGAGAAAGGAGGTTCCAACATATATTGAAGAGAAGTGGTCCAAGTCTTGCCGATGTAGGCTCTGACACGCCCCCTCCAACGGTGGCTATACGTCACAAATTGTCCCATAGTGTTGAGAGGGGGCTAGAAGGGGGTTATAGATTGCCCAAAGTATCGAGTCCCTAGAGTGGTAGGCCTTGGCTCTAATACCATGTGAGAATTTGTGGAACTCCATATTACTCTCCAAAAGAGCCCTTGAGGAGAGAGGGAAGTTCCAACATATATTGAGAGAATAGGTCCAAGTCTAGCCTATGTGGGACTCTGACAAAACCTATCCTGGCTCATCCATGTCTAAAGCAAAGAGTAATGGGTTTAAAGTAGATCCTTCGTGCTATATGTCTTCAATCAATAAATACAATACGTAATGCTAGTTATTATGTTTTGAATTCACTTTGTCATGAATATATATGTTCGATGTCTTCACTTTTCTACTAATTCAAAATGAGTCTCATTTAGAGACCAGGCTGAAAAGTTTCACACATTTCACTGTTACTATTCCTCCATTTTGCTACTAAACGCCTGTAGCAATGGTTAGTGGTGTGAGAATACATGGAACCCCAACTCACTCTCCAAAAGAGCCCTTGAGGAGAAAGTGGAGGTTCCAACATATATACAAAAGAAATGGTCCAAGTCTAGCAGATGTGGGACTCCAACACGCCCCCTCCAAAGAAGGCTAGATGGATACAGATTGTCCCTCAGTGTTGAGAGGGGGCTAGCCAGAGTGTCGGGTCCTTAGAGTGCTCAGACCTTGGCTCTGATACCATGTGAGAATATGTGGAACCCACGGATAACTCTCCAAAGAGCCTTGAGGAGAAAGGGGAGGTTCCAACATATATACAGAAGAAACGGTCCAAGTCTAATGTGGGACTCCACAAGTTGTAAACTTGAAAATGGAGAAGGATGGCTGTTTTAAGGAAGAAACTCGAGCAGTCCACCGCCAGCCAATGGGTTCGGGACTAGGACCCCGTGCGGCTATACTCAGCCCTTAGAGCCAATCCTTTTCTCGAGGTTACGATTTGAGAGGGGATAAGTTGATGCAAACTCACCAACAATAAAATGAGTGACCTACTTAATGGACCATTCTGTTGCTTGATTTTTCATTGCACACAAACCATTTTTCTTGAAAAATATGCAACAAAAAAAAAACCGCTTACAAGAATGAGCAGTTGTGGACGAAATGTGCCATATATGAAGGTTTGTTTGCATTTGCATTTACGCAAAATATGTTCAAAATTGCTCATTCTTGAAGACTAGTTTTTTTAGCAATTTCACAAGAACGATGATTAGTTTGCAAGAAAACCTACATTCAGTGGTCCAAAAATTCAGTTACTCATAATAAGATATAGACATGGGTGCATGGCTATGGATGTAGCTAGACCCAGTTATAATGCAACGATAAATACAGAAATATAGCATAAAATGGTTGGAATAACATAACATTTGACCAAAAAGTGTGCGCGGAAACAAGAAAGATGATGCCAATATTACACAAAAGTTCAGAGGCAAACCGGCCTCCATCATAGTTGTTCACTGTTGCATCACTTGTACTCCCATGGTCCCATAACAAGTGTCCACATTTCATAAATAGATAAGCATAATTCACTAAATTTCCAAATTCTGCACTTAATTATGACACACGAATATTTAATAGTTGATGAGATGGAGAAATTTATTAGTGGAATAAATATACATTTCTAAAACTACGCTAAATTTCCAAATTCTACCCTTAATTATGATGCATGAATATAAAAGTTAACAAGATAAAGAAATTTATTAGTGGAATATTCTGTTCGAAAGTAGCAGCTTCAGTCACTCGAATTTTATAAATTTCTAAAAATTATGTGATTTTTTATTTAGGGTAAAATTGTCATCCAGTTAATTAAAAAGTGTAATAATTATATTGTTTAAATTATCTGCATTTCTATTGTGAAAATTTATTTTTGGGATGGAGTGAGCTTTGATTTGTACCAGTTCATCATCGAACTAGACTCTAATTTGCCACTTACACAAGAAGCTTTCATAGAATTAATTAAACAAAACCGACTTACAACTTTCAAAAGAGGAACATTGTCGGGTATTGATAACATTAGCTTTTCATTCCAAACAGGATTGAGGCAGTTCTTTATAACTCGCGTCTTCACTGACTGCAGCCAAAACACAATCTTTTCTCAGTTTCACACCAACGTTGATTTTCCTGCTATTTATAGTTATGCAACAGAAGGCGATTTTTTTACTCCCGCTGTCCCAAAATGAGGGTCCACATTTCTATTTTAATTCGTCCCAAAATAAGTGTTCACTTTCAAAATGGAAGTGTCTACTTTCCAATTCTACCCTTACTTTTGAGATGGAGAAATTCATTACTCCCTCTATTTGTTAAGGGTAAAATTGTCATTTAGTTAATTAAAAGTGTAATAATTACACATTTCTAAAACTGTGTGCTCTTTTTGTTGTGGAAATTTATTTTGGGGCGGAGAGATTATTCGGTTTCAGGCTTACTTGGTTTCCCAACGAGAGCATAACATAAGGATCACTACTTCTCACATCTCGGATAGCAAGGTCGATGCCTCTGACCACATTGACCTTGATCAAACCAACAAATTCAACCATACCTGCCTATAAACAAGATATCAGGCATCAGAAAAACAAGTTTCTAATGCAAACAGAAATACCACAAGAAAAGAACTTCAAGGTGATCTAAATTATGATTTCGGGATCTACAATAGAGGAATTTGATTTTATCGCACAATAATATACTTGTTCCAATACAAACGTCAATGACTATTATAGTCAGGATTCTACTCCCTCCGTCCCAATATAAAAGGCACACAATGTTAGAAATATGTAATTATTACACATTTAATTAACTAATTGACAATTTTACCCTTAATAATAGAGGGAGTAATGAATTTTTCCATCTCATAATTAAGGGTAGGATTGGAAAGTAGACACTTCCATTTTAAAAGTGAACACTTATTTTGGGACAAATTAAAATAGAAATGTGGACACTTATTCTGGGATGGAGAGAGTATTTTGAAATTGAAGAGGATATTAATGTTAATAGTTTGTTAGTGATGGGGCAACTTTACCCAAAATACAAGACATGTCCCAGGTT